TATTTGCTGCCTCTTTCAGTGGGGTGGGACCTGTTAGAGCTGCCTTTTTGATACCTAGGTTAGCTCTCTCTCAGAACTCTCATGACAGACAGGAAAAGGGGGGTGGGATGACCAAAAAAACCCCCCAAACCCACAGAAGAGTAAGGCAGGAGGTAGGGGGACAGGGGGTCTGGGCAGGTGCCAGGAGAGGTGTTGGTGGGTGCCATGGCACCCACAGACACCATGTTGGAGACCCCAAATTTAAAGCCTTTGGCTCCCCCCAAGTTACAGCACTGCCTCTGAAGGAATGAGTACAAATCTTGCCTTCCAAACCCCAGCCTCTTTTTAGAGTAACTTTAAAACTCATTTTTAAACATCAGGATTAAAACAGGGAAACCTTAAGCACTGCTGAAACTCACAAGCTGGTCATTAGCCAGCCACTCTGGGAAAAGCCAGGCAGCTGCTGTAGGACTAACGTTCAGATGTCAACTAACTTAACCACATTACTTTCCACTTAGTTCAAATGAGTTCTGTCTTCATTTGGGGGCCTATCTAGAAAGGCACGCTTTTTGGAAAGCACCCTGAGAGAGAGAGATTGAGAAAGCATGGGGAAGAGTTGCCACTCAGTGACAGGGCATCTGTTTTGAATGCAGAAAGTCCCAGGTTCAATGCCTGGTATCTCCAGACAGGGCTGGGTATGTCCCCAGTTTGAAACCCCGAAGAGCCGTGGGATAAGGCTGGTCCCTGTGTTCCTTGACTGGTCCCCAGATTATAAACCACTACAAAACTGGCCAATTCTCCAAGAGACTGATTGGGGGGGGGGTAGGAAGAAACCTACTACCCCTACCCCTTCTATCAACTGCCAGAGCAGCCTTCCTCAACCTGGTGCCCTCCAGATATTGTTGGACTCCAACTCCCAGCAGCCCCGGCTAGCATGACCAACAGTCAGGGATGATGGGAATGTAGTCCAAATCTGGAGGTCACCTGCTTGGAGGATGTATAATGATGACCCCATGTTTCTATTCCTCTGTGCTCCTTGAAGCAAGAGGACGAGGTTATTTTGACGATGGGCGGGAGATGTAAATATTGGCAATGCTATCAAGCACAGAGCCTGGCATCCCACCCTTAATTACCCACTTCCCTGTGGCCCAGTTGATTTTAGTTAGATGATACAGGTGTGACTGAAGGCATAGGTTGTTTTACAGTCTTTAAATTGTCAGAACCTTCAGGAAACACAGAGTGGTAATTCTAGAATCAATACTAAGAGACAGGTATTTTACACCTGCTGTGTGTATGTGTAGAGGTGTGTGTGTATGTGTGTGTTTAAAGAAAAGCAACAGACACTAAAAAGGTTGTGCAGGGGTGGGGGTGGAAATACTACAACAATTGACAGTCATACTTACTCAATCCCTTTTGTTGGGTATATTGACAGATAGCAGGGAACTGCAGTTCAGAGAGTCAGGTAAACCAAGGGAGGTGTAATAAAACCCCCAAAACATCTGGGTCTAAGTCCAGTGAGAGATGGTGTTTGCGCTGAGATTGAAGCTTCTGTACAGCTTATATGACAGATAACAGACAGCGTTGCCAATCTCAAGCCAATTCATCTTCCATGACAGTGCGTGTGAGAAAGGGGGGGGGGAGTATCTTTGGTGAAAACTACAAGACATCTGCTAAAGTAGCATCAGGCAAAATGATAAGCCTTATGACCCAGGGCCCTTATCTGGCGCACCAGTGATCAGTATTTTAAGATTCGGCTGCAAGGAATCAATACATCAACACAACCAGTGACACTTAACAACTGAGATTCAGGACAGGCAAAAGGGGGGAAATGGTAAAATGCATTCACACAGCACGTAGTTAAGCTATGGAAGAGGTAGCAATGGCCAACAACTTGGAGGGCTTTAAAGACAAATGCAAGGCAAATAGGACTAGCAATCAGGGCAGACCTACATTTTTGGGGCCTTCGTGACCAGCAACGAGGTCTGGGTAACCACTGCTACCTTCTTCAACGGGGCTGTTTACAACAACGTTTACAACATCTGTGCTACTGACACTCAAAACTTCAGGATTGTTGAAATATATGCAACAAAAAAATTGATCAGTTTTGAGTTGTGCACCTCAAATTGAGTCTACTAGACCCATTTTTCTAAAACGCATTTTGGACTAAAGTTGCTTCCAGGCCCCTCTGGGATTAGAGGCCCTGAAGCTTTAAGCTGGGTTAGTTTCATAGCAGATCCATCCCTGCCAGCAATGACTACTAGACATGATGATATCTGTTCTCTGCATCCACTTATGCCTGAATGCCCGCTGCTGGGAATCCCAGGTGAGAAGGGAGCTGCTATGTTCAGGTCCTGCTGGGCATCCATAGGGCATCTGGTTGGCCAGTGTAAGAAGAAGATGCTGGCCTAGATGGCCCTTTATCCTGAGCCAGCAGGGCTCTTCTCAGGTTCTTGTATGCACATCCAGGTTTCTTCTTGCAGGTTGCAAGGAATCCTCACAGCTTTCTTCACCAGCCGATGACACTATGATGCAATGCTTTAAGTAAAAAGCAGGCTCTAACTGTATTATCTTGCCCCCAGTTTATCACCCTTGAAAAACAACTAAAAACATGTTGTACCCTTTCCCCCACCGTTGTTCCAGCCCTCGGATCACATAGGTTCCCCTTTCTCCAGCCAACTTCCTTTCCAGCTCTGCAATATCTTTCTGAGATCGCCTAACCATAATCACACAGTATTTGAAGTACAGTGGTACCTCGGGTTACAAATGCTTCGGGTTACAATCGCTTCAGGTTACAGACTCCGCTATCCTGGAAGTAGTACCTCGGGTTAAGAACTTTACTTCAAGATGAGAACAGAAATTGCGCGGTGGCAGCAGGAGGCCCCATTAGCTAAAGTGGTACCTCAGTTTAAGAACAGTTTCAGGTTAAGTACGGACCTCCGGAACGAATTAAGTTCTTAACCAGAGGTACCACTGTACGGCTGCATCATCGATGTATCTAAGAGCACTGCAAATGCGGGCAATTGGATTTATACAGTCCATTGAATTGTATTCACATTTTCCTTCCCTCACACCCCCAAAACCTCTTCATTTGGTCCTGGGGGCTCTTTGGACCACTCCCCAGCCACACCTCTGCTCCCCAGGGCATGCACCTCCATGGCTCTGCTTTCTATCCTCCTTGAGAGTTTTTGCCTGGCTGGTATGTATCCTTGATGGAGCCTGGAAATATAGAGAAGTCATAAATTGTTCATTCTTCATACAGTATTATTTTAATCTCCAACACTTCCTTTCATCACTATTGCTGCACACTGATATATTTTGAGCCAGCAAATTCGGAATGTTTTGTTGCAGGGGAAGCAATCAGATGTCAATGACACGTGTGTGCACTACAAATACAGCCTGCTTACCTGGAAACCAGTTCTACTGAAATCAATGGAAATTCATTCAGAGCAAACATATTTAGGATTAAGGTGACTTTTAGAGGAGTTGAAGACAGTCAGAAGAAGGGAGCGTTCCAGCATTTAGTCATATATGTTGCTACAGTTCTTACTGTCAGAAAGCTCTTCCTGATGTTTAGTCAGAATCTCTTTTCTTTTAACTTGAAGCCATTAGTTTGGGTCCTACTCTCTGGAGCAGGAGAAAGCAAGTTTGTGCCAACTTCTATGTGACTTCCACACATTCATTTGAGATGACTAAGAGGTGCTTTAGTCAGTCAAGGTTCTATATCTTCTAGTTGACTTTACTTTATGTAATGAAACTGAAAAGGGTCAGCTCAGATTTTCATTCCAACTTTTACTTTCTGTTATTTATAGCCAACGTTTTGCTTTCTTCGCAATTCCCAGTACAATGCCAAAATACCGTGTGAGGAAGAGAACGAAAAAAGCTTAAAGCATTTATATGTTCTTGAGTCAGTTTTTGCGATAGTGAATTTTGCTCTATACTTATTAAATGACTCATGTAGCTTGAGTAATAAATGTATGACTAAGCTATTCAAGTAGTCATTTGCTTTCTTTCTCCAAACCATGCAAAATTGGATAAAGGCATAGCGCTGCTTAAAGGTGAACTATCTAGTTTTGCAAAACAACCAATGTGGCCTATGGGCATTTTTTCCCCCAGAACAACTGGCTTAGGGCAGAAGTCATGGTGTCCTGCAAATAACCCTAGCCAGAGCTCACCATGAGTTGGCTGACTCAACAAACCCGCCCAAGTGTTTCCCCAGAAGCTGGCAATGTACCATTATCATATTTACCCAATTGCATCATGATATATTCAAGGTTATTTAGCTAAACAAGGTTAAGAAAGTGTTTCTAGTACTAATATTAGGTTACTCCCACCACTTTCCCTACTCTACTCTTAAACTGATGTGGCCCTGTAAGACAAGATAGAATAAATGTTTGTCCCTCTTTGTACCCATAAAAAAATAGCATTGGGTGGTATGTTCATTCAACATCAGCTGTGTGTTTTATTGTACTTCACTTCAAGGTTAACTAAGGAATACTTTTGTTTCATTGCTGTAAAGTTTGGACAGTGTGGCTTCAACTATCATCAAGCTGACAATTCTAGAACAGGCAAATCTCTCAGCAGGGAAGGTAAGCTTCCCAGCAGGAGCACATCTACGGCTATGACTAAGCATGCAGACTGGACTAAGCAGCTTCCACTTACAACCACCCAGGTTGCCTCTCACATGCGACTTCCTTCTTCAGAGGCATTTAACTTGTATGCTTCACATGTTTAAGCAAAGAAAAGTTGATTAAGTATTTCGGCATAAGACTTGTTTATTACACTTCTGTCCTGCTCTTCCTCCCAAAGTGGTAAACACTAACCACAGTAGTTTTTCTCTAGTTCTGATATAAAGTGATAAAATGTCACAAACCTTCAATTCACTTTGCTTCAGTGGACTTCAAGTATCATGTTAAGGAAGTCAACATTATAATGAACCCAGACTTAGTATAGCTGACAATATTATTTTTGAACATACCAATAATTCAGAAATAAAGTTGAACAATACTGACAATACAAAACCCTTTAAGTTTCAATTTTTTATTCATACAAAACAAAAACAAATTTTGGGGGTAATAAAGGACATTCTAGTATTTCTGCTTCCAGCTAGCATTCTGTAACATTTCTCTGTTCAATATACAGCAGTCCCATCCCAGACCGCAGCATCACTGAAAGCTATGAGGTTTCCATCTTGTAGCCGTGTTTTTCTAATTCAGCTCTGTAAAGTAAAAACAAATCACACAAATTATTTAAATCCTACGAAATGTTAGACACTCAATTCTTGCTTACATTAAAAAAAAATACTTGATTGGAAGCAGACTAAGTTTCTATTGAGTATCAATGAGACCCAAGTGCCAGGAAGTGTCTGGGCTCAACCCAACATGTATAAAATCTCTCAAAACATATTCTAATTACTCCTCCTTTTGCTTCCAAAACAATTAGTATTCTGATGAAAAGTCTGATTACATAATATAAAATCCTTTTTAAATTGGGTTGGATCCAGATTAAAGTAAGCTGCACTATGTTCCTACTGAAATGACTTCATTCAAGCTACAATCCTATACCCACTTACCTAGAAGGAAGCTTCATGACTGCACTGTCAGTTATAACTAACTTTTCACACTCATTTAAGTAGGACCAATGTGCAACTAACTTAGTCTGGATCCAGCTGTTTATCATATATCCACCTGCACCAATCAATAGTAAAAGGTTGTTGTAAACAGTTCAATGAAATATGTATCTTGCTTCAGCTCTCCTACGCTACTTCCTCCAAAACTTTCCTCTCCCCTCTACCTGTGGTTGCATCCATTCGCCACCCACCCCTATTCCCTACTGAGATGCTAAAGCAGACACAAGAAGCACAAGCCTTTGAATTACCGTATTTTTCACCCTATAGGACGCACTGGCCCATAGGACGCACCTAATTTTTTGGGGGGGGGGAGTAAAGGGGGGGAAATTATTCCCCCCCCGAGCTTCCCCCGACCCCAGCCCCCAGAACATGCAGCTCTCCGCAAGCCGTGGGAGCCCAGGCCGGGCTCCCACAGCTTGCGGAGACCTGCGCGAAGCTAAGCCTGGGCGCGCTGCGCCTCCCCGCTGTCCCCCTAGCTGGCGGGGCTGGCGGCGGGGAGAAGCACGCTTCTCCCCGCCGTCAGCCTCCAAACCAGGTCAGGAGACAGCAGGATGGCGTGCTGCGCCTCCCTGCTGTCCCCCGAGCTTGTGGGGCTGGCAGTGGGGAGAAGCACGCTTCTCCCCGCCGCCAGCCTTCACATCAGGTCGGGAGACAGCGGGCTGGCGGCGTTCCGGGGGACAGCAGGCTGGCGGTGGGGCTCTCCTGAAGCCTGGAGAGCGAGAGGGGTCGGTGTGCACCAACCCCTCTCGCTTTCCAGGCTTCAGCGAAAGCCTGCATTCGCCCCATAGGACGCACACACATTTCCCCTTCATTTTTGGAGGGGGAAAAGTGCGTCCTATAGGGCGAAAAATACGGTATGTTGTTTCAGTGTGCATGTATCTCCATCTTCTTTGCCTGAGGAAGCCACAAACCCCTCAAGGCCAAAGGGAGGCAAGGCATTGCTAAGCATGCAGCCAAGGTAACAAAAATAAGCTATATACAGAGAAAAAATAATCTCAGAACAGGAAGCGTTATTTTGCAGATACAGTAGATAAAGGAAAACAGATGAAGCAACTGAAATATGATCCAATCATTAAATGCTTTCTCCTCCTCTTCTTTCTGATGTATCTGGCATGGTTCTTCAGTTTTGGCTATTTTATCAATATCTGCTGTATAAGAAATAATAGTCAGTCCTGCAATTAACTTAAAACTGCTTTTTCAGACTGACAATAAGTGACAGCAACACAATTTTCATCTCAAAATTCAGCTGGAGATATTGAGCTTAACCCATTTAGAGCTGCTAGTACCTCAATAGTGATTAATACTAGTTGACACTGCAGCTATTTTATTATGTGCACAATATGGCTAAATATCAGTAAAGTGATGCAGCTTGAAACTTAAAGCAACTGCTGATGTGTACAAAGTTCCATGTTACGTATGGGAGCCACTACAAAATGTGATTTTGTCCAGCATGTCAGATCTGATTCTTGTTTGAGGGATTCTAGCCTGCAATTTTTTCACTATTTGTATATACTGAAAACTTTTAGATGACCTTAGCTGATTGGAGAAATCATCTTCCACATTGTCATCATCCCAATTGTCTTCCCACACATGTGCATCTTCATCTTCATCTAAACCAGCCCAGTCTGAAAAAAAGGACACAGGACAAGTTTAGTTTATATATAGTTAAACTGTGAGCAAAACATTTCAGCAACTTGAATATCAGAAAGCTTCATTCCCTTTAATTGTGTTATAAATAGTTGTTTTTAACTGTTTTAACAATAATCTTACTGCATTATTGTTTGGGAGACTGCTTTGAGGGTTTTTTTTAACAAACAGTGTATCAATTTTATGAAATGAAATAAATAAATGCAACTTTAACGATACAATTCAGAGCACAATGTAATTTCATGCCGCTCTTCTGTAAGTACAGTGGTACCTCGGGTTAAGTACTTAATTCGTTCCGGAGGTCCGTACTTAACCTGAAACTGTTCTTAACCTGAAGCACCACTTTAGCTAATGGGGCCTCCTGCTGTTGCTGCGCCGCTGGAGCACAAATTCTGTTCTCATCCTGAAGCAAAGTTCTTAACCTGAAGCACTATTTCTGGGTTAGCGGAGTCTGTAACCTGAAGTGTATGTAACCCGAGGTACCACTGTATGCAATATTTACTGCAGTTCATGCAGCAATATTAATGACAAAGGTAAAAACTGAAAGTGAACAGTGGCTAAAACATGTATCTTGTATCTACCACTTTCCCAGTATCTTATACACACTTTAGAAGGTGACAGAGCTCCATTGGTATGAACTGAGATTATTTTAACGGTTAGATCTGGACCAAAGCCAAGACTCGTGGTTTGTAAATGCATGATTGGAGTCAAATGATAGAAGCACTTCACAGACTGATCCCCTTAAAAGGTCTGGCTGGTAATTTCTAGTCACAGATATTCCAAATTTGTAAGGCTGAACAGCTCTGTTCAAGGTGGTGGAAGCGAGTAAGGTGAGTCAGTATCAAGCAACCTAGACAACACGCTAGGGTGAGGAAATGAGGCAAAGAGATTAGAGAGCAGCAAACTAGATGCTGTCTGACCAAAGATCAGGTACTGGCCCAGAAAGCTTTTTAAAAAAGAGAGAGGTTGAACCCAATTAGGGAAAGGGCCCAGAGTTCCGTCCTCCTAGTAAGGAGTATTGAGAGGTCAGTCCCTATTCATATATTTAAACTCCATGGATACTACTTCAATACCAGTTGGGACCCTAATACCAGGGAATTTGAAAAATGACATGTGAATAAGTTGCACATCAGATTTCATCACTGCAAAACAAGTGGGAGCTCAAGCTATTAAACCATGTGCTTTTCTCCTGACAGGCTTTCAAACCATTGGCACAAATGTGTAAGATTTGAGACACACAATGATAGAGGCAGCGATCAAAGATCATGTATTGCCGTACATTTCTAATGCCATCCTTCAGGACATAAAAAAGGCCCGTTCCAGCAATGCCTTTCTACTATTTTCCAAAGTAAAAACTGGCTTTTCAAATACATTTCTGATCTCTAGAACTCTAACCCACGAGAATAAGTAAACCAGTCCTGTGCTTAAACACTACTGTGGCAACCTGATGCAAAAATACAGTAACTATGCTATGACAGTTCACTGGCTTTGTAACCAAAATACTACTGTATAAGTTTCACATTTAGGTGGTGTTTTTCAAAAGACACAAGATACGAGCATTTCAGGGCTTTGGCATTCTCATTTACTATATAGCACGTTGAGCTTTCATGCATTAAAAATATGAATCAAGTTAATCTTTTGATGATTCTGAAACAAATAAGTAATGCTCCCTGCTAACCAGCCTTGAGATGAGCAGACTCTCATCTTACAGTCTTTCCTCTCCCTGGAGTAAATACCACTCACTCCACTTAATCATGGCTGAGGGGTTTGTTGGCACTTATGTTAACCACTGTCAAATTCTAAACATACATACTACGATTTAGGAATGGAAAAATCCAGGATACTTAGATATATCTCTGATGTTTTATTCTATGTTTTAAATTTTGCACATTGCAAGTTTTTGTTTTGTGTAAGTTGCTTATTTATTTTTCATAAATAAATGAAACTTACTGCCTAGCATGTTTTTAACCAAGGAGTAGACCTGCCATGTTTTAACTGGGCTTTTGAGAAAAGCTTCTTGCAACTGACATTGCTATAATATTAATGAACACAATAATGTCAGCAGAATGCATTAATTCGTTTTAGATCACAACAGCCTCTGTTCTAACAGATCAATCTCTGTTGAAATACTAAACAGAGCAACGCAAAACATAACTTGCAACACATTCTTATTTCAGTAACTGAAATTATATGGATCACTGGTATCTTTGTAGCTACCATAATTTCTTGAAAGCAAATGGGTTGGGCTGAAAGACATGCTCACTAAAATTAATACGGTGTAAAATGCAAAACCCCAAGTGCATCCAGCTGTACAGCAGCTCCGGGTAACACAATAGGTACTGATGGGGGTGGTGGGTAGGAGGCTTTTCCCCACCCTCAAACATTCCAAACAGACAACTAGTTTCCACATCAAAGTTCTGTGCAACTTGCAGCATTTGGAACATTAGCTGATAAAATGATCACCTCGCTTTGTGTTCCCTACTGATTAAACTTGCTGCACTATAAGCAGCAGTCATCTTCACAAAAACTGGGACAGAAAGCCTGTAACTATACATTATTCATGCAGCTAAAGGATGTTATTTGCACACTTGCAAATGTAAAATTATCATCCAGTGGTATTATTTTCCTTTCACCAGATAAAATGAAAAAAATATAAAGCACTATGGGGATTTGAATGTACTGTATCATTAATTAACTACAACATGCCCACGTTTCAAAGATCTTAAAACTACTTGTATAACACAGTTGTTAAATTCTTCTACACTTAAAAGCCAACATATACTTTGTTTATTGCTCTAACATACCTAAGTAACTTATTTTTCACACTTCTGTACAATTTCCAAAAAATATTTAGCATGTGATGAATTCTTATAAGGAATACTGTACCACAATGGAATGCTTAACAAAAATAGAACAAATCGATTTCAGATGGTTGAATTTGAAAGGTAAGAATAAAATCAGCCTTGAAATGTAGGGTGCTTTAATAAAAACATTCTTTGTGGAATGTTTCTTTCTCATATGTCAATATAACTTTGCATTGTGAAACTCTGTAACTGGAAGGTGCACTTCTGAAATTTAACACAGAAGTTTACTGATACCCATGCTATTATTATTCATACCTATACTACTAAAATTCTAAAGGCTCTTTCAGTTAGCCTGCTGAAATAATATGACGAATCAGCAGCTCAAGATTTTTATACAAAAAAACTTTGCACTTCTCAGTGCTGAGCAACTGCAGCACAGCAAATGCAATTAAAGCAAAATGATAGTGGCACTGCTTTTAGCACAATGTGCATAGCATCAAGCTTTAAAATATATAACAAAGTTCAGCTACAAAGCAGAGATGTTTAAAAACATAATACTGCTAATAAATTGTATGAAACAGGCTTTTTAAAAATCCTCTACATAGTTTTGCTGAGCTATACAATAATACAGAAGCCTTACTTAAGGTCAGCAGTATCCACTGTTTGTGCAATCCTGTTTTACTGTTGAAAAAGCACCACCACCACCACAGCAGATCAGCAACAGCAACGAATCAACCAATCATATTCAAATGTAATAGAAACATAATAAAGTTGAGCAAGTACTGTCTGAAACCAGAATCTGCATTTCTGGTCATTCAGCAAAGACTGAGGCCCTTGGTTCCTGAGTCTGCCACAATTTACTGGAAGCAAGTTCTATAAATGAACAGGGCTTTCTTCCCGGCTATTAAAGGGGATAGTAAACATGGTGTTCTGAATACGCAAGAGTGACAATTATTAAACAGCTGCTGCTAAATGTTTAACACACATTGACTGGCTTTCTGTACATGCCATCACGTCTATTGATCAAGGATAGCATCTTTGTTCACCAGGTGTGAGAACTTGGTCCTACCAACTGTACCCAGGAAAACAGTCGGATCACATCCCTGTTTAGCCCAAAGTGCACAAGCGGAGAGAAATCCTCCGAACGGTACACGCGTTTTAAAGCGGTCCAAAACCTGGCCAGCCACCTGTCACGCCTCAACCCTACACCTGATGTTTCTTCCACACGAGACGATTCTCACTTCGGAAAGGGGGGACGATGCGGGTGAGACAGCCAGCCAGGAACTCGCGCTGCGTAAACACACCGCACATCCAAAGCACATGGCATTCTTACACTCCCACCCCGCGGGGCAAAGCATCCTGGGAACTATAGTTCGATGCTGGGAACTGCAGGTCTGAGGAGTCACGTACTTTAAATGTGTGGCGCGTGGGCAGCCTCAGGCGCGAAAGGGATGCTGGGAGATAAGGCCCCGAGGCCGCAGAGGCTCCTACGCGGGAGCAACCAAGCCCCAACTGTGAAGAGGGGGGGCCCCTCTCGCGGGAACAGCGCGCGCCCACACAGAGGCGTGTTTGAGGCCTAGTGTTCAGCCTCTCCTAAAGCCTCCCCGCCCCCCACCAGGCAACAGCGCACAGTCACCGTCCTCGTCCCTCAGCCCCCCCACCCCCACGAGCCGCTCCCCTTCTGGGTTCAAGGCTACCTTCGGCCGGGAACTCCTCGAACTCGTCGTCCTCCTCCAAGAGCCCCAAGTCGACGGGCTGTTTCTTCTCCGACATCATCGGCCTTGCGCCGCTCTAGAGCCCGCCAGCGACTCCCACTCTATTGCTCCCCGCTGGGAATGACGGGACGGCGACGGAACCGGGAGGCCGGCCGGCAAGCGAGCGGGCGGGCGGAAGGCGCATGCGCCCTCTCCCGCGCGGCCTGGCCGCTCTAGCCGCCGACGTCGCTCGCGAGAGCGTATTGGCGTCATCCCCACCCCCACAACCACGCGCTGCACGCTCTTGGTCCCGCGTCACGGCGGTTTATTTCGCGTCCAGCTCGTTCTTTGTGTTTAGTTACCTCGGCGGGGATGTGCAGGGAGGGAGTTTCGGCGCTTTTCTTTTCGGAGGGAGGGGGGCAGAGGCAATGGGGCGTAAGCAACAAAAGCACGCAATACAATAAACTACATCCTACATCAATAGTGATATTTGTTTGTGTCATTCGTATCCCGCCTTTCTGCCAAACAAGATGGGGTGGTGCCCATTGCTCCCCACTTCCATCCTCACAACAACCCTGTGAGGTAGGAAGATGCTGACTAACCCATCTTGGCTGTGAGTCCTGGAAGAGCTTGCAGGCCTTTCCCCACATAGCCCAGAAAGGCCTTGAATGACTCCAGCTACAAAAGTGGATGCTGCTGAACAGATTCTTGGGCTGCGGTGTTGTTGGGGGGGTTGGGGGTTGGAAGCAGGGTTTGTTGCTGTTACCTGTTATTAATTTCTTTGTATCTTGATTTTTAGACCTTACTATTTAATTGTTGCATCTTAAAAAGCAGAGACATCACCTTGCCAACAAAGGTCGGTATAGTTAAAGCTATGATTTTCCCAGTAGTGATGTATGGAAGTGAGAGTTGGACCATAAAGAAGGCTGATCGCCAAAGAATTGATGCTTTTGAATTATGGTGCTGGAGGAGACTCTTGAGAGTCCCATGGACTGCAGGAAGATCAAACCTCTCCATTCTTAAGGAAATCAGCCCTGAGTGGAAGGACAGATCCTGAAGCTGAGGCTCTAATACTTTGGCCACCTCATGAGAAGAGAAGACTCCCTGGAAAAGACCCTGATGTTGGGAAAGATGGAGGGCACAAGGAGAAGGGGACGACAGAGGACGAGATGGTTGGACAGTGTTCTCAAAGCTACCAGCATGAGTTTGACCAAGCTGCGGGAGGCAGTGGAAGACAGAAGTGCTTGGCGTGCTCTGGTCCATGGGGTCACGAAGAGTCGGACATGACTAAACGACTAAACAACAACAACAACAAATTTAATTGTTGGTTGGGTTGTGTGCAATTGTGAAGGAGTTGGGTATGTTTAGCCTGGAAAAGAGGAGATATAATAATAGCCGTTTCCAAATCACTTTAAGGGACGGTGAATCAAGCTTGTTTTCCCTTGCTCCAGAGGGCAGGACTCAAACCAAGGGCTCCAAGTTACAAGAAAGGAATATTGCTCAAAAAAAGATGTGCTAATATGCCTAGATTAAAATGTGAAGTATTGGATGGAAAAAATTAGTAAGGAAAGATAATAAGAATATATAGATGATTTGAGAAGATTGTAGAATGCAAAGATTATTGTAAATTGTATAATGTGGAGGAAATCGAGTTGGGGCAGAAGGAAGTGGGAGGCAGGAGAAAAGAATAACATGATGGATTGAGGAAATAGAAATGTAAATGTATGGGGGGATGGGGAGGAAATGGTGTTGGCTTTGGTACATCTGTATTGTAATGTAATATGTGAAAACCTTGCCAGTTTGCCAATGTGTCTCCATTACACAGTTCACTCTCGGGGTGGGGGTGGGGAGGAAGATTCCGACTAAACACCAGGAAGAACTTTTCTGACAGGAAGAGCTGTTTGACAGTGGAATGGACTCCCTCAGAAGGCAATTGACTCTTTCATTGGAGGTTTCTAAGCAGAAGTTGGATGACCATCTGTCGTGGATGCTTTAGTTGAGATTCCAGCATTGCAGGGAGCTGGACTAGATGATATTCGGACTGCCTTCCAATTCTACAATTCTGTGCATCTCTGAAAATATATGCTTACAGCTATTCAAGATAAAGGAACTCACTCCTCGTTTGCATGTAGTCACCCCCTTTCTGTTTTCCCCCTTCTTCTTATCACTTTAGAAAGAATCCTGAACAACAACAATGAAACAGTTTTACTACGACTGATGTATTTCTGAAGATTTAGTTGCAACAACGATGTGGATCTACATCAGTTGAAGAACATTGTACTAAAATGTAACTGCTATTCAAGTACCTGATTATGTATACAAGCCACATAACACAGCAAAGCAAAACATTTTCCTTGAAGATTTTTCTGCATCCCACACAACTTGAGTTTTCCCTCTCTCTGTTGGCATGACACAATGAACATGTATTGCCAAAATATAGGGGAATAAAGGATGGCTTCAGATGGCCTATTGACAGTAATTAGATAGCACGCTCACAACACTATCCCCTTCTTAAAGATGGTCTGGTCCTCAGAACTTTTGGAGCAGAGCAATCCTAAGCATTTTTGCTCAGAAATATTATGGGACTTAGTACTCAGAAAGTGTGTTTAGGTTGGATTACAGCCTCAAAGGGCACACAGCTTTCCCTTGTATCTTGGGTTCATTTCCACCCTCAAATACCCACTTTTAAGGCCCTTTGTGGAAAACCATACTAACTCTCCCACAGCATTTACAGTAATCTGTAAATGTAATCTTTTATGATGACTTTAATTTTCTATAATCTATGTAAAATCTAGTGCTCCCATCCTCCTTTGCCAGTAGAGGTCCAAAGGCTGCTGGAAGGTTCAATTATTTCCTGCTGGATTTCATGGTTTGCTGGCAAAGCTCTTTCTGATTTGCAACAGGCAGCCTGTAGGGCACATGTTTTACAAAGTGCCTTTTCCTTCATATTATTATTATTATTGCTTTCAAAATTAGTTTACAAAAGAGTTTACAATATAAAGAGGCGGGGGAAACAGCAAGGAACATCCTTGTAATATTAAGGAATATAGTAGACTAGATAAACTAAAATGAATTCATCAAGATTAAAACACATACCAAAAAGAAAGAAAGAAAAGAACTCACAAGATGAGAACTGTCATTGGACAGAATGATTTTATTTATATTTGCTAATTTTCTTAATTACAATTCTTAGAGACCCCGAAAACGGTTAACATTATAAATTATCTCCCATTATTTTTCATTCATTTTTTTTAAAAAAGCTCATTCTTGTTCAAAACCTTTAAAACGTTTTTCTTCTTGCTTTACCCATAAAATCAAAGATATCTTGTTCAGTGTTGCAAAATCCTCCATTTTGATTTGCCATATTTAATAGTCTATATTATTTAAATGAATGTTGAATGTTATTTTATTTGCATAGTGTATATTGTATTATGCATATTGTCTAATTTATATGATGTTAGCCACTCTGAGCCCGGCTTTGGCTGGGGAGGGCGGGATACAAATAAAATATCATTATTATTATTATTATTATTATTATTATTCCAGTCAATGGGACTCTTTCTTTTTCCAGTACTTTGTGTAAAGTATCCTTTCCGTTGCAAACATATAAAATAATTATCTTTATCTAAGAACCAGCATCTTCCAAAAATGTTAATAAAAATACTCTAGGGTTTAAACATACAGTATGCCCACATCTTACACGCATTTTAATTGTGTGATTTCAACCATACACAGTTGAAGGCAGGCTGGTTGAATTTTCACAAGCCAAATCCCAACCAAGGGGAAGAGCTTAAAAGCTCTTTTTGTGCCGGGTCAGAGTGGGATTACCATACATCGCACAGAAAGAACTTTTAAACTCTGCACCTTGATTAGCAGGCAAGGCCCACTCAATGTGCTGGCTGTGGGATGCTCTTGCAAGATTTCATGCAGAGACCTTAAAACCTTTTTGCACTGGGTCTGCTTGGGTGCAAAAACAGTTTTTAAGCTCTCTGACCTGGTAGCCAATGGAGGGCTGGAAGGGTTGAGTATGGGCAGTTTTCACATATATGTGGAATCCTTGGAACTGGAAACCTGTGAAAGATGTGAGCATATACCGTATTCCATATTCCAAACTCATTTGATGATTTCATGAAATCTCCTGCCAATAATTCTTTGTCACAGAACAGGTCCAATAAAAACAATTAGCCCTTTCTAGTCTGCATTTGCTGCTATTACAGATCCTAAATCATCTAGTACAGTGGTTCCCAATTAGCTAAGTATTTCAAACCCCTTTTTTTCAAAAGCCAAGCCATGGACCCTCTACTTTTGAAATTTTTGATATCTCTATTGTAGTTTTGTTATGAGAATGGTGTCACAGACCCCCTGGGTGGGTTATGTATACCTCCTGGGGTCCATGGGCCACCAATTGGGAACCCCTGGTCTAATAGATTAAGTACCAATCTTCCCAACGTCCTATTAAAATTAACAGTGTTATGGATTCCTTAATACTTGACCAAGTTTATTGTCACGTATCAGCAGAAATTGCTTTTCCAGTCATTAATTCCTATTTTTCAAGTAAAACTGATTCAACTCTCCTCTATAAAAAAGGGGGAGGAGGGGGACTTTGAACACCCCAAACCTTGCTGACTTGCCCCACCCCATCCCAACAAATCAATTGAAAAGACTCACGTCACAAGCCACTGCTGCTTTTAAATGTTTTGTGATAGTAAATGACATTCATTTGGCATTATATTGTAATATAGCAGGTAATTGCTATTTCTCAGCTTTTACATTGTTTCCCGGTTTTATTTGGTTGCAAGTTACTTCCCTTTGTTGCCCTGGTTCTGTATCCTAATGCCACAATCTGCTACAATGTGAAGTTAAGCCATGATGCCTAATTTTATTTTTGGCTTCTGCAATCACAGTGCTTGCCAGGGAGCATGAGCTAAATCCACACAAGAGGTTAGCAACAGAAGGGGTCATCAGATGTCAAATGTATCTATAGCCGTATCCCTCTCACTTTTCATAAATGTATTCTACAGTTACAAAACCAGAGGGTAACTGATTGGGTCTGGTCAGCTACCTACTTGTGGTGCCTGCAGTGAGTGAGATTTATCACTTTAAAATGAAGTTGGATTCTGCAGGAGTTTGTTGAATTGGAGCGCTGAAGAAAGGAATCATATTTTGCAACAACTTTCTATATGATTGAAGGCGCTTAAAGTGAATGCTTGCTTCAGAAATAATT